TTCATCTCTAGCCTACCCCAACTTGTTTGGGACTAAAAGGCTTTGTTGTTGTTGTTGTATACTTTAAGAAAGATTATTATTATTATATAAGATATAAGATGATAAGCCGTATAAGTGATGAGTGTTATTTTAAATATAAATAATAATATAGTTATTCAAAAAAGTATTTGAAATTAATTTTTTTTTTATTTTTTAATTTTAAATATATTTTTTTTAACAAACACCCGTATTGTACTAATAATAAATAATTCAAAAATACATCTTTCATTAACAGTGTTATCAAATGGCGGCCATGGCGGCGCCATGGCGGTATGGCGTGGCGGATTTTTGACAATCCGCCATGCAAAATTTGTGAATGATGGCGGTCATGGCGGCGCCATAGAACGCCACGGCGGCCGCAATGGCGGAATTTTGGCAAAACGCCATGTACCGCCATCCGCCATTAATAACACTGTTCATTAATTAAGAGAGGAGATACCTAAAATTTACCCAAATCATGGCAAGTGAAATATATATGTAATATTTTATTTAAGAAAAATGAATTCCTGTATTAGAACAATTCATTTAACTAATTCATTATTTAAGAAAAATGAATTCTTGTATTTACAGCTAGAATATAAGTTGCACCTTAGTCTTTTTGCTAGAATTTTGATCCCACAAAAATTGTCATTTATTTGTTTGTTTGTTTTTCCCTATTTTGGTCTCAACAAATATAATGAATCTTCATATGACCATTACGTGGTTAATATCAAATTGAGTAATATTTTGATTGTTAAAACTTATATCTGAACCGACCCATTAGATCTGGATATCTGAACCGAATTTCGGTGGTTCGGAACAAAAATTTATTAGAGCCGGTTTTGTTTCGGAGATCCAATTTTTGAGACCTGTGAAGTTCAGTTCTGGAGATTTATGGATATACGAACGAAAGCGACCCGTGCTGAGTCGTATGTAGGTACCAATTTATCTAGATGATAATATCAATGTTCTGAAAACCGGACCGGTGATCAAACCGGTCGAGCTACTGGTTCAATGGTTCATTGGTTGGACCAGTGGTTGAACTGGTCGGACCGAAATTTAATATATTATAATTTTTTAAAATATATGATATATTATATATCAAATTTTATATATAAAAATATCATTAATTAAATATTTATATACTTAAAGTATTCATAAATATATTTTATAAATATCCATTATATTTAAAACATATGAGATTAAACATATATAAAATAATATTTTACATGACATAGAAAGTGGATATAAGAAACACAATTAACATATTGCAAATATATTATTGCCTCAAAATAGTAATCACCAAATTTGTTTAACTTTTTTTCAATAGAGAAGAAATATAATTAATATACTACATATATATCATTACTCAAATGTAATAAATAAATTTCCTAAGCCCATTAATCAACTCATTGTAGAATAGTATGTATATATATATATATATATTTTTTTTTTTCTTAAATATTGTGCTCTTAGTAAACATAAAAAGTAGATCAATTTTTTAGAAGTCTTATTAAAAGCAATTTGATAAGCTTTTTTATACCTGCAACCAATTATTACTTTAAGGCCCACTAACGCAACGGCCAGTAATTTGAATTTCATCAGCCTTGTGAACAATGAAACCCACATCGAAACTACTACATAAAGATTTCGGCTATTTAATTGACTCACCAATCATACCTTCATAAGAAAGCAACAGACGCGACTGCTGGGCCGCTCCAACTGTGGCTGGTTTTGCCGGTTTTGTCGGTTTTGAACCGTTCAAGCGGCTCTTGACCGGTTTTGGGCCCCAACGGGTCAATACCTCTAACCAGACCGGTATAGTGGCCGGTCTCCGGTTGAACCGGTCTAACTGGCGGGTCCGGTCCGGTTTTCAGAACATTGGATAATATAGTAATTTATACATTGTTAATCATCAATTTTAAAGCACAGTTAGTTATTTCGCAGGGATCTTCATGAATTGTTAGTAGAAATAGCAGGGATCTTCATGAATTGTTAGTAGAAATATCTTACAAAGATATCATGAAGTTTGGTTATATATTGGACCAAAATATTTCTCTGTGTTTGAATAAAATAGACGTTTTTGTTGTATTGGGCTCCACCATGTATGAAAGTTTCTTATTTCTTATGAGAAATGTTTAAACCAACTCTCGAATCATCTAACATGAATAAATAAAATAACTAGTGTACTTTTTTCATTAGGGACTCATTTTTTTATATATTTTTGTTGCGGTAGTACTATGTTGTTATTCTTTTTATATTAGGACATCATTATGTTAGTTTAAAAAAAAAATCCATTAGGAGCTCATTTCTTCTATGTTTAATAAATTAATTAAATTATTTACTAAGCTTAATTGACAAATAATATTCACCCCACGTGCATCGCACGTGCACTTTACTAACTTGAATATTTATATGGAATGTGCAGTTGGATTGGCTGATTTGCAGCCTCTGACGTGGTGAAATCTATTCATTAGGATAGCTGCCAAATATTATCATTTTCCTTTAAAGAAAATGCCAAATGTTTTTTCCACATGGGTTTACAGATGAAATCTCGTTGTCTTTGCTGAATAATGAGCTTAGATCTCTATAATCTAGAGCCTTGAGAATGATATACATGGGTGGGTCACCTTTTTCCTCTCTTGAGCTCATATTCTATGCTAGGCATCTGCATTTAATTGGGTGTAGGTTAATTTGCCCTTCATCGTCTTGTGCTGTAAATGTTATTTTTAATGAGTGTCTATTTTCTGTCTGATCTCATGTTTCAGTCTCGGAGAACATCAGTGATATTGAGCTGGAAAAGGAGAATTCCTATTCATTTGATGTAAATTTAAGAACTGATCACACACCGGAAGAGAGTAGAAATAAACATTAGGATAACAATTCTAAATAATGTGTAAGAATTATGGTGTGAGTTAATTTCTACAATTTCCTGCCTTTCAACATATTTTTATTTTATATGCTGTCATTATATCTTGCAATTGAGCTTCTGCAAAAGCACAACCCATCAGATGATATTTGTGTGTAACAATCACAAAAAAAGAAAGTGAAAAAGAAAAAAACATCAAAGTTAATAAGAATGAGTGGGGAACTTGCAGCTTTTGTGTGTCTACCAAGGTTCAATGTGATAGAAACTGTTAACCCAGCATGACGAGTTGCCTAAAGGACTAAAATGTCCAGGAAGTCCAAAAAGGTTGATTGATTGTCTGTAATTGTTTTGATTTTGTTCAGATTCAGTGACATAATCATTTACTCCAATGCCGTGAATCTGATGTGCTAAAAATTTACAATGTCATGTTATCTGCAAAACTTCTTTAGTAACTAATTCTGATCATTCAATACGATCCACAATTACAATAACCAACTTTATGTCTGTAGAATAGGAAGACGAGCATATCATATATGCAAACAGAGTCTAGCTCAAAGTCAAACCGTCTAAATTCTTAGCTTGAGCTGCTGTTAAAGATCAATCTAGCTAATTTTGAGGCTATCTTGCGTCAGAGTTGGTCTGCAGAATCAAGATTTTATCAGCTCTAGTTTTCTTCAACACCTCCATTTCTGCTATACTGAAGCTTTTTTGGGAGACCTTGCGAGAGGTGACTCCCATATATGCCAGTGATAATAAAAATTCCCTTCAGTTTGAGTTCATTCTTAGTTCAATGAAGAATTGAAGTGTTATGGGAAAATCAGTTACTTTTGAGATGGTGAAATCCTGTACCATTTTCCCTACACGGTCATGTTAGTTATTGCAGAAGCTGCATCCCTCATTTTGAGTTTTTCCATTAGAGCTTTTTTTTTTTAGGTTAGATGTGTGTTTTCCCCTTTCTGGCTTAAAATCTTCATATTCTTTTCGTAGCCTTTCACTGGTGAATTTTGTCTAAATTTTCCTATTAGGGTAATGTACTTATTCAGCTAAAAGTTTCTTAAGTATCTTTTTGAATCAGTACAATTATATATGAGTTTTTCCTTACGTTCAATTGACTGATTTTCTTATATATTAACGCTCTTCTCAAAGTAGAATGTTTATCTTTAGTAGTTAAATTAGGAGCTAGTTCAGAGTTCCTAACAATATCCTTAACAAGTTAACATGCTACAAATAATGTATGAACTTTAGATACAAAAAAAAAAAAAAAAAAA